TCAGTGTGTGTGTTTATCATGACTGCAGATGTTCAGTGTGTGTGTTTATCATGACTGCAGATGTTCAGTGTGTGTGTTTATCATGACTGCAGATGTTCAGTGTGTGTGTTTATCATGACTGCAGATGTTCAGTGTGTGTGTTTATCATGACTGCAGATGTTCAGTGTGTGTGTTTATCATGACTGCAGATGTTCAGTGTGTGTGTTTATCATGACTGCAGATGTTCAGTGTGTGTGTTTATCATGACTGCAGATGTTCAGTGTGTGTGTTTATCATGACTGCAGATGTTCAGTGTGTGTGTTTATCATGACTGCAGATGTTCAGTGTGTGTGTTTATCATGACTGCAGATGTTCAGTGTGTGTGTTTATCATGACTGCAGATGTTCAGTGTGTGTGTTTATCATGACTGCAGATGTTCAGTGTGTGTGTTTATCATGACTGCAGATGTTCAGTGTGTGTGTTTATCATGACTGCAGATGTTCAGTGTGTGTGTTTATCATGACTGCAGATGTTCAGTGTGTGTGTTTATCATGACTGCAGATGTTCAGTGTGTGTGTTTATCATGACTGCAGATGTTCAGTGTGTGTGTTTATCATGACTGCAGATGTTCAGTGTGTGTGTTTATCATGACCAGATGTTCAGTGTGTGTGTTTATCATGACTGCAGATGTTCAGTGTGTGTGTTTATCATGACTGCAGATGTTCAGTGTGTGTGTTTATCATGACTGCAGATGTTCAGTGTGTGTGTTTATCATGACTGCAGATGTTCAGTGTGTGTGTTTATCATGACTGCAGATGTTCAGTGTGTGTGTTTATCATGACTGCAGATGTTCAGTGTGTGTGTTTATCATGACTGCAGATGTTCAGTGTGTGTGTTTATCATGACTGCAGATGTTCAGTGTGTGTGTTTATCATGACTGCAGATGTTCAGTGTGTGTGTTTATCATGACTGCAGATGTTCAGTGTGTGTGTGTTTATCATGACTGCAGATGTTCAGTGTGTGTGTTTATCATGACTGCAGATGTTCAGTGTGTGTGTTTATCATGACTGCAGATGTTCAGTGTGTGTGTTTATCATGACTGCAGATGTTCAGTGTGTGTGTTTATCATGACTGCAGATGTTCAGTGTGTGTGTTTATCATGACTGCAGATGTTCAGTGTGTGTGTTTATCATGACTGCAGATGTTCAGTGTGTGTGTTTATCATGACTGCAGATGTTCAGTGTGTGTGTTTATCATGACTGCAGATGTTCAGTGTGTGTGTTTATCATGACTGCAGATGTTCAGTGTGTGTGTTTATCATGACTGCAGATGTTCAGTGTGTGTGTTTATCATGACTGCAGATGTTCAGTGTGTGTGTTTATCATGACTGCAGATGTTCAGTGTGTGTGTTTATCATGACTGCAGATGTTCAGTGTGTGTGTTTATCATGACTGCAGATGTTCAGTGTGTGTGTTTATCATGACTGCAGATGTTCAGTGTGTGTGTTTATCATGACTGCAGATGTTCAGTGTGTGTGTTTATCATGACTGCAGATGTTCAGTGTGTGTGTGTTTATCATGACTGCAGATGTTCAGTGTGTGTGTTTATCATGACTGCAGATGTTCAGTGTGTGTGTGTTTATCATGACTGCAGATGTTCAGTGTGTGTGTTTATCATGACTGCAGATGTTCAGTGTGTGTGTGTTTATCATGACTGCAGATGTTCAGTGTGTGTGTTTATCATGACTGCAGATGTTCAGTGTGTGTGTGTTTATCATGACTGCAGATGTTCAGTGTGTGTGTTTATCATGACTGCAGATGTTCAGTGTGTGTGTGTTTATCATGACTGCAGATGTTCAGTGTGTGTGTTTATCATGACTGCAGATGTTCAGTGTGTGTGTGTTTATCATGACTGCAGATGTTCAGTGTGTGTGTTTATCATGACTGCAGATGTTCAGTGTGTGTGTTTATCATGACTGCAGATGTTCAGTGTGTGTGTGTGTTTATCATGACTGCAGATGTTCAGTGTGTGTTTATCATGACTGCAGATGTTCAGTGTGTGTGTTTATCATGACTGCAGATGTTCAGTGTGTGTGTTTATCATGACTGCAGATGTTCAGTGTGTGTGTTTATCATGACTGCAGATGTTCAGTGTGTGTGTTTATCATGACTGCAGATGTTCAGTGTGTGTGTTTATCATGACTGCAGATGTTCAGTGTGTGTGTGTTTATCATGACTGCAGATGTTCAGTGTGTGTGTTTATCATGACTGCAGATGTTCAGTGTGTGTGTGTTTATCATGACTGCAGATGTTCAGTGTGTGTGTGTTTATCATGACTGCAGATGTTCAGTGTGTGTGTTTATCATGACTGCAGATGTTCAGTGTGTGTGTTTATCGTGACTGCAGATGTTCAGTGTGTGTGTTTATCATGACTGCAGATGTTCAGTGTGTGTGTTTATCATGACTGCAGATGTTCAGTGTGTGTGTTTATCATGACTGCAGATGTTCAGTGTGTGTGTGTTTATCATGACTGCAGATGTTCAGTGTGTGTGTTTATCATGACTGCAGATGTTCAGTGTGTGTGTGTTTATCATGATTGCAGATGTTCAGTGTGTGTGTTTATCATGACTGCAGATGTTCAGTGTGTGTGTTTATCATGACTGCAGATGTTCAGTGTGTGTGTGTTTATCATGACTGCAGATGTTCAGTGTGTGTGTGTTTATCATGACTGCAGATGTTCAGTGTGTGTGTTTATCATGACTGCAGATGTTCAGTGTGTGTGTTTATCATGACTGCAGATGTTCAGTGTGTGTGTTTATCATGACTGCAGATGTTCAGTGTGTGTGTTTATCATGACTGCAGATGTTCAGTGTGTGTGTGTTTATCATGATTGCAGATGTTCAGTGTGTGTGTTTATCATGACTGCAGATGTTCAGTGTGTGTGTTTATCATGACTGCAGATGTTCAGTGTGTGTTTATCATGACTGCAGATGTTCAGTGTGTGTGTTTATCATGACTGCAGATGTTCAGTGTGTGTGTGTTTATCATGACTGCAGATGTTCAGTGTGTGTGTTTATCATGACTGCAGATGTTCAGTGCGTGTGTTTATCATGACTGCAGATGTTCAGTGTGTGTGTTTATCATGATTGCAGATGTTCAGTGCGTGTGTTTATCATGACTGCAGATGTTCAGTGTGTGTGTTTATCATGACTGCAGATGTTCAGTGTGTGTGTTTATTATGACTGCAGATGTTCAGTGTGTGTGTTTATCATGACTGCAGATGTTCAGTGTGTGTGTTTATCATGACTGCAGATGTTCAGCGTGTGTGTTTATCATGACTGCAGATGTTCAGTGTGTGTGTTTATCATGACTGCAGATGTTCAGTGTGTGTGTTTATCATGACTGCAGATGTTCAGTGTGTGTGTTTATCATGACTGCAGATGTTCAGTGTGTGTGTTTATCATGACTGCAGATGTTCAGCGTGTGTGTTTATCATGACTGCAGATGTTCAGTGTGTGTGTTTATCATGACTGCAGATGTTCAGTGTGTGTGTTTATCATGACTGCAGATGTTCAGTGTGTGTGTTTATCATGACTGCAGATGTTCAGTGTGTGTGTTTATCATGATTGCAGATGTTCAGATCAGATGAGTGTGAATCTTCAGATTGTGTGCGGCTCAAACTCACCAGCTCTTCTTGCACAGATGATCTGAAGAAGAATCACAGTAGGAGCAGCAAACACTGCGATCTCAACAATACTCACAATCACTGCAGGAAACATGAGAGGAAGAAGAGAAACTGTACATGACTGAAGTCAAGGGTCTTCATCTATCAACAGTTATTGATGAAGCATTTACAGACTGACTGATAGTGTAATGTTATAAAGCTGTCAGTATAAATGAACGTGTCGTACCTCTGTATAATAATAATCCTGATGCTGGATCTGTGGATCACGTCTGTTAGTTCAACACATCATCAACACATAATGCCACATCTACACAACATCATCAACACATAATACTGGAGCTTCACATCACAGAAATGAGGAATATGTGCACGAGTCTGTCATCATTATCTTCTTACTTCAATCTCAAGCCGTCAGGAGGAGAACGACTATCGCCATTGACCAAAAATAATCTATTTGATGCTTTATTCATTCACAGATATTCATGTTAAGTGAGGTTCTAGTACTCTTGCATTTCTAAGTTTGCAGAAACATTGAGATGAGGAATATCTATTTATTGACGGCATCTAAAACATATAATGTTTCCTGTATGAAAACATTCAAATGCACAAATATTGAGGAATCCTTCGAGGTTGATGTGTGTGCCAGCGATCATGTGATCATGAACCTTGTGTAGAAGCTGCTGCTGTAGTTCGGCTTGATGTCTTCTCAGAGTTTGATCTGCTGACTGGAGTCAGTGTTGTTGAAGAGACTGGAGCTGCAGAAGATGAATGTTCAGACGCATCACCTGTAGGACATTAACATCATATCTTCACATTGTGAAGTCATCAGAAAGAGTAGAGCCAGTCTGTGAAAGTTTTCACAAATCTGTCTTCTAACAGTGTTTTCTCTCCTGAATACTTGACAGTGTATCTGACTGAGGTCTTGAGTTGATTTCTGTAAGTAAGCTGACATCTCCACTCTCTGTTGTCATCTTCATTCAGGAGTGTTGTAGTCAGAGTGATGATGATACAGCGATATTGATCTGATGATGATAATATCTGATATCTGGAGTCTGTCTTCAGATCAACACCAGCCTGATTCACCCACAACAGCTCAACTCCCCCAGAACGAACCCAATAATCACAGGAGAATCCAGCATATGAATACAACTGACAGGAGAGAGTCACAGAGCGGCCTGGACTGATCTCAGTCTGTGAGGATGATGATGATGATGATGATGATGATGATGGAGACACTGAAACTGAACACAAGACACAAATCACAGACTCTTCAATCATCATCTGAGTTTAATAAAGAATCTGCCCTTTTTAAATTGACCACATAATCATAAACTTACCATGAAGAACATGCAGATAAACACGTGCATCAGTTCCATGTTTCTGTCCGTTCACATATTGTTGGCAGCTGTATAATCCATAATCTTCTTCTGTGACGTTCTTGATGTTCAGAGAGCAGTCAGACTCCAGACTCAGTCTCTCATGTCTCTCTGTGTCTTTCTTCTTTATCCCTCCAGTAATCAGTGCAACTGTCCCTGAGTGTCTGAATCTGTTATAGATCCATGTAGTTGATGTGCAGTCAGAAAGAGCTTTATTACAGGACAGACGGACATTTCCACCAGAACTGATGAACACATGATCCTCATCCACTCCACTGGTGCCTGAAACACAGTAGATCTCAGTGATCATTATGATATATATTAATAAATTAAACCATAAACCATACCAGCATAACAAGCAGAAGATTCAAATCATACAGTCTTTTTCCGGTAACATTTCACAATAAGGGTATATGAATAATCATGTACTAATACCTGAATTAATACTTAATTCAACATGAACTAGAAAAAGTTCGTCGAGACAAACTTTATGTTGGCTTGTGAAAGTTTGGACCAGAAAGTTTGAAGAAGTTTAAAGTAGTTTGAAGTTTATATTAGTTTATAGAGTAAAATTTTAAAGTAGTTTAAAGTTTAAATTATTTTAAAGTTTGAATTTTAAAGTAGTTTAAAGTTTAAATTAGTTTAAAGTGTAAATTAGTTTAAAGTAGTTTAGTTTAAAGTTTTGAATAGTTTAAAGTTTAAAGTAGTTTAAAGTTTAAAGTATAGTTTGAAGTAATTTAAAGTTGCTAGGGTGTTTCTAGTGGGTTGCTATGGTATTTTGGGTGGTTGCTATGGTGTTCTGGGTGGTTGATAGGCGGATGCTAGGGTGCTCAGGGTGGTTGCTAAAGTATTTTGAGTGGTTGCTAAGTGGTTGCTAAGGTGTTTTGAGTGGTTGCTAGGGTACTATGGGTGGTTGATAGAGGGTTGCTAGGGTGTTCTAAGCTATTTTGAGGGGTTGCTATGGTGTTCTGGGTGGTTGCTATGGTGTTCTATGGTATTTTGGGTGGTTGCTATGGTGTTCTGTGTGGTTGCTAGGCGGCTGCTAGGGTGTCCTAAGGTATTTTTGGTGGTTGCTAGTGTGTTCTGGGTGGTTGCTATGGTGTTCAAAAGTATTTTGAGTGGTTGATAGGCGGTTCTGGGTGGTTGTTAGGCAGTTGCTAGGGTGTTCTGGGTGGTTGCTATGGTGTTGTTAGGGTGTTCTAGGGTATATTGGGTGGTTGCCAGGGTGTTCAAAAGTATTTTGAACACCCTAGCAACCCACTTAATACACTTAAAGTATATTAAGTGTATGTTTATAAGTGTATGAATTCATGAGTTCATAAGTGTATGAGTTTTTGGAGTTTAGAGTTTATAAGTTTAGAGTTTATAAGTTTAAATGAGTTTATTCATTTATGAGTTTAATAGTCCATAAGTGTATGAATTCATGAGTTTATAAGTGTATGAGTTTTGGAGTTTATAAGTTTAGAGTTTATTAATTTATTATGAGATTAAGAGTTGATAAGTGTATATAGATAGATAGATAAGTGTCATAGATAGATGAGTTTATTAGTTTAAATGAGTCTCAATGGCTCATAGTGTATAGCCTAGTTGCATAACAACGGAAATAGTATTTCCGGTTTGTCTGTGGTGAGCTGGATCACTTCCGGTCACTGCTTCCGTCAATGGCACTCGCTTACTTAACCGACCGTTCAGCATAGTGTAAAAAAAACACACGAGTCTTTTTGGTATTAAAACAGGTGTTGTACCGAATTCCGACTCGCAGACAAATCACACGCCCCTTCGCGTGCACGCGCCTCTCACATAAATACGCGCTGAAGCGAGTTTGAATGCACTTCCTTTGCCGTATGCGTTTATCGATTAATTTTTCTCACAGCAAGCACCCAGATCCTGCATGAAAGCTTTGTCTACACTTACATAAATTAACAGAAAGTGAACTAGTGTGGATAAAAGATGCAAACAAACAAAAACGTATGGCAGATCGATTAAAACTATAAACTATAAACTGTAAAGCTACCATAATAAAGCTACCAGATGTCAAAACATAACTGTTAATTTCACATAATTTAACTGAACGTAACTTTTGTGTGTTAAACACGATGTGGTTCATGGGAAAATATTGTATTACTCTCCCCATTGCACAAGAATGTCATTAAAAATAATAATATTTAACCTTTTTCATGAAGATAGGCTTTAGTTCATAAAATACATGTCTGTATATTGTATATAATCGACTATAGCCTGAGGCAAATACCTGTTTTTATGTTTGTTTGTTTTTTGCTTAATTGCATCTTAAAAATAGAAATTATAATTGATAATTATAATTTTAATAATGTGATCATTGACTAAAGCTAAGGATAAATAAAGCTAAGGATGTAAAGAAACCTTAGACATTTTTTTTTTCATTATAGTTATTTTCCGGCACATTAGGACCACAAAAAAACATTATTTATTTCATTCATTCTTTCAATTTCACATCTTGCATCCTAGCAGGGAACGTTCTCAGAACTTTGGCTAACATTCCCTACAAGTTTGGTTTAAACTTGTAAAGCCCTACGAGGGTACTGTTTTAAAGAAAACATTTGAATGTAATGTTTTAAGGATGTTTTAACTGCAACATTTTGAGGATGTTTTGGGAATGTTGTTGAGATCACAGATTATACAATGTTCTTTTTGGGAACAAAAATAAAACTACCCGCTGAAAACATTAGAACAGAACAAACAAAATTCTAGCTGGGATTATGGATATAGGCCTACAATTAAAATAGCTGGAGCAATTGTTTTGCGTTCAGGTGCCCTTAAAAACTGCTGCCATATTACAAAAAAAATAAAGATTGAGTGCATGCATAATAATTTGTTTATGAACTAAAGCCTATCTTCATGAAAAAGGTTAAATATTATTATTTTTAATGACATTCTTGTGCAATGGGGAGAGTGATACAATATTGTCCTATGAACCACATCGTGTTTAACACACAAAAGTTACGTTCAGTTAAATTATGTGAAATTACCAGTTATGTTTTGACAGCTGGTAGCTTTATTATGGTAGCTTTACCCGTCGAAGTTTATAGTTTTAATCGATCTGCCATACACTGTAAAAAAATTTTTCGTAAAATAACGGTAAAAAGTCTGGCAGCAAAGTTGCCAACCACTTACCGTCAAATTACAGTAAAAAAACTTAAATTATTTTACAGAAAAATGTTGTTTTTTGAAAACGGATATTTACCGTAAATATTTTCTGTATTTTTACAGTCAAACTGCTGTAGAAAAAAAATAAAATCTCATAAAAAAATGTCTGTTGAATGTTAAACGAATGTATAAATCTGTATAAAAACTTACAAATATTGCAGAAATACCTTAAAATTACATAATTAAAACAAAGACTTCTGTTTTAATACAGTATTATTTGGTATATTTTTAGGATAATCCAATCCATCTACAAGAACTCCTTGTCAAAGTAAAGACTTTTCTATGTAAAACACACAGAAAATGTTGTATAATTACCTTCAGATACCCTAATTTAAAGCCTAATACCAGTATATTGATCGATTTAAACTTTTATTTTATGTCATTATTCAATCTATTTACAGTAAATTCCTGTTAAATATTGGTTTTATCCTGTACAAAAAAACAAGATCTTGTGATATTAAGTTTCAGAAACATATTTTTAACAGTTATTGCTTTATTAAAACATTATTTGACAGTAATTACAGACACATCTCCAATAAATTTACAAGCTTTTACCATTAATGTATGCAGGTTTACTTTATATAAAGATTATTTGACAGTAATAACAAGCAACTCTCCAATATTTCTACATATTTGTACCATTTAAATACAGTGTGCTACTTTATATAAAGATTATTTGACAGTAATAACAAGCAACTCTCCAATATTTCTACATGTTTACCATTTAAATAAGGGGGTTTACTTTATATAAACATTATTTGACAATAATTACAGGCAACTCTCCAATATTTCTACATATTTGTACCTTTAATGTATGGGGCTTTACCTTCTATATACTTTTAACATCAATGTATGAGGTATACTTTGTATAAACATTGCTTTATACTAATTAAAATCAACTTTCCAATATATCAACATGACATTTACTCAATGTATGGGTTAACTTTATATACACATTAATAGACAGTAATTACAAGCATTACTCCAATATATGTAAAAATACACATGTTTATTTTATGTAAACAATATTTGATAGCAATTACAAGCAACTGGCCAATATATGTACATACTTTTTCCATTACGGCATGGGGTTTACTTTAAAATGCACATAGGCTAAAATGCACATAAAATACGGTCAAGTCCTTCAGTCAAAAAGTTCTTTGTTCTTAGTTCAGAAGCTAAGTTCTTTCCAGTAACAAACAAAGTTAATATATAATCAGTATTAATATACAGATGTGAATGTGCATGCTAAAAAAGTTCATTTGGCAGATTGATATTCACCCACGTCCTTTCAAAATTCCAACGATGGCTATGATCCTCTGTAGTGGCTCTCACCAGGCATTGTCCTGAAAAATAGATAAGATGTATCATGCTTGTAAAAATCGCCAGAGCAGAGCCATTAGGTTGCCCCCTAACAATAATTGCAGTTTGGAGCTTGAATGAAAATTGAACTGTATGCGTTGCGACGTTCGTCTGTTATAGGACAACTTAGTTGGAATAAACGAGCAGACACTGATTAGCTACTTGCTCTACGTTTATTTAAAATTAACAGCAAGACGACTAGAAGTGAATGTGCTTTCCATTAAATGAATCACACACAGTTAACAAATCCTTAAGAAAAAAAAAAACTTTGTGTGATTTATTTAAAACAAAACACGTTCATTGCACAGTAAACAAACCCTTAAAGGAGAACTCCGGCGCAAAATGAACCTTTGGTCTAATAACACATTGGTACCTAGTCAACCGTTCTCTGAGATTTGTTTTCCTGATAATCGATGTAAAGAGTTTTATCTCTAAAAACTGTTTAGCGTATAACGCTAGTAATGGGGGCATTTAATAAGTAAAAAGAAATCGCTAGTTAATACCACTAACAAGGCTCAAAATAGCCCCACACTAACACAGTAACATAATGAGGGTCCCTACATGCAAACCGAAGCATTGAGAACTTTGTAAGTGTACAGACCGTTTAATAAGAAGATAAAGATAAAGACAGTCCTTTTCGAGTATACAGACAGGAGCCATCTTTGGAAAACAGTCTCGACTAATCAAACCACGAACGCCATTCATTCAGTTCAGAAGTTCACTGAACTTCATAC